CCCCCCCAGTTATCTCTGCGTATAAGCTGTTTGTCTTCTTTCTCTGAGATACAGGTTTTCTCTGTGTGCCCACCCTATTGACTGATTTACAAGGCCGATAGTATTGATTTATCAATATCCAGACCAGAGGAAACTTCAGTTTTAAAACAACCTCTTTAAACAGGACCAAGAAATGAGAAGGTGCTTTCTTACCCTGGTCTTTTCCCTCTCCCACCTTATCTTCCACCCATTCTATATTCTATGGAGCCACCTTCTACTCCAGCTGGGCTTAAATGCACAGTCTGGTATATAATGTCAGGTGTCCTCCCTCCCCCTGACATTAAATCACACATTGTCTGCTCTGTGCCATTTACTCAGCACTCTGCACTCTGCCCTCTGCCATCCGATGCCACCTTGTTATTGATGGTTTTATGTGTTTATTTTCTTCTTAGAGAGAGACTCTTTAAGTTAGGAACTGCATTTAAACTTTTATTGGATTCTCTCAACATCAAGTGTAATGCTGTGGACAGAACAGCTAACAAAATGATCTGAGTGATGTAGCAGCAGTTCTCCAGGAGGAGAGCCTTTTGGATTCAGATACGAAAGTCATGAGAAATGTTATGGACTCTCCTACCCAGAATTCTGGTTTTGATGGATGTACCAAGACTTATGATATTGCAGTCTTCGATTTTAAAGATCATGGAGATTTTCCAAAGTATTTCCATGGCACTAATGCAGTGTTTCTCAAAGTATGGTCCCAGACCAGCAGCAGCACCTGGAAACTTGTTTGAGACCCCCCCGCCTTTCCCCACCAGTATGCTGTACGCCTGAAACTAATATAAAATTCTACTGAATGTCAACTGTAATTGAAAAAATAAAAATAATAGTTTAAATGAAACACCCAAAGCCCACCCTAGACCTACTGGACCAAAAAGCTCTGGAGGTGGGGCCCAGTGATCTACATTTAACAAGTGTTTAACCCAGTGATTCTGATGCATTCTAAAGTTTGAGAGCTTCCTTCAGCCTCAATGAATATATCATGCATTCAGTGCTCTTCCTGGGCTTCTTAAACCTTAATATACATAAGAATTGCTGGAAATCTTGCTAAAATGCAGATTCTGATTCAGTAGGTCTGGAGTGGGGATGAGATTCTGCTTTGTGCATAAGCTCCCCTGTGATTCCATTGCAGGTGGTCTGGAGCTTTTGAGTAATAAGGTGAAACCATAGGTGGCAAAGGGTTTCATCTCAAGTCATCTCTAGTTAAGTGACTTTCTGTCACACTGTGCTGAAAAGAATTCTGAGGGTGTGTCTATGTAATTTAGTTGTAAACAGCAGTATGATCACTTAATAATGTCTGTCGTGGGTACAGAGCTAGAAATAATGACATGCTTGCTATGTTTTGGCTACCTTAGCTCTCCCATTTAAATCACATTTGCTGCCAAGGTCATTTTTTGAATGTGTACACTCAAATGTGTACTAATATGAAAAACAGTGCTTTCTCTCTCTCTCTCCTTCTTTTTTTTTTTTTTGTATTAAAAGTACCTATTACTAATACTCTAGAATTTGGTAAACATATGAGCATTCACCTTAGCCCTGTGGGATTTATATAACTAAAGTCTGATCATTTCTCATCTTTCTTGACAGAAAACAAGTGAATCTTTTCAAGTATATTTCCAAATTTCTTACCCGGTCTTCTCATCCCTTAAACAATTTTATTTGCTTTTTCCTGGAACATTTTTCATTTCCCTTTATGTCTTTCCTATAAATCTTCATTTTGTTACTTAAAGGAAAACAATTTATCATAATAACCAGACAGGTGGGGGTAAAGCTATTTTCCCCATGCAGCAAAAGAGATAATTGCAAGATTTCTCCTTAAATAAGATCATCTCACATTATAAAAATATCCTATAAAATTACTCCTCCCACATGGATGCTATCTTAACGTGAAAAGTCATTTTAAATCAGTA